TGTGCATCTATCGGGGTACGGCTAGCCAGTAATTAAATCCCAATTTAAAATTTTCAGTGTGTCAAAATGTGCTATCTTGCTTATTCCTTACTATTCTGATCTCTTTTGAGTTAATCACATCAAATGATGTTTAACAATTCAAGCAATAAACTTTTGACAAACTGGCTAATACCTGGACAATGACTCAGCTTACTGTCAGGTCGTGTTAGGATGCAATAATCTTGATTCTTGTTTCATGCAGAGCACAAATCCACGCAGCAACAACATCCTTGCTATATATTCAAGTTGGCACTTCAGTCTCTATTTTGGGTTTTGTTACACTGGTACTCTGCAATAGAAAAAAAAATCTATTTTCTTGCTGCGTTTCCCGCTAGTATCAGTCTAAAGGAAAAGAAAGAAGCAGCTGTAACGGCTAAACTTTAAGAGGTTTAACACACTTTTACTGCCCAATAAGCCAGGTTTATTTTATTTGGCTGAAACCTGGAGAGTAGGTTAGCCGATAAAAAGAGCTTAGAGATGCTCATGACTGCTTGCTAACTGCAGTTTCATAGGTTGTCTTGGTGGTTCTTAGCTGACTGTGGTGTAATTTAGCCTCATTAGCCTCTTGACACAGAAACGACTGTGTCAGACATTTCTGTTCCAAAGTAATTCTGGCTCAGCAGGTAATATATTTCTGGAAATTTCTGATGTAGTGGTATCCCACTGCAGAAGTGATCCTAGTGATTCTAAATGGAAGTGCAAGGATTCATATTTTTGACTGTGGATGGCAGATGACATGGATGGATTGAAAGAACGTTGTGGCATTTGAGGCTTTATGATAATGTTACCTGCACACTGCTCTATTCAAATTTCCTAAACATGTTAAGCTGGGAGGACCCTGGGGTCATGAGGACTGGAAATGGGACTGGGAAGCTGCTGGTTTGCGCAGATTCCAAATACGCAGCAGAAAATGAACAGATTAATGAGATGACAGATTTGTCGAGCAATTAACAATTCAACTTCACCCCAGGGTGAAAATCTTTGAGTGAAAGGGACCAGGTTGGGCATTTCCAAGTTGACCTACAGTGAAAGCGAGGCTTCATTTGAAGAATTCCTTCATTCAGAAGTCATAAAGATATTCCAGGGATATATGGAGACATTTTCAGGTGCAGAACTACAGCAAAGTTAATGCTAAATGAGGCTTATTTTTATGTGTAACTTCAAGAAAGTAATTACATCGTGGACGTTTAGAGAAAGGCATTCAAGTTGAACATTTTAGCCTGTTAATTAAAAACAGTTACATTATACAGTTTTTATATGGGCTTGTCGGATAGTAAAATTTACATTTCCATCTTTTTCCACATGAGATCAGCAGCATTTCAAATGTAGTTTTATTCGAGTTTTCCTGTCAGCTGGAGTCTTTTGACCTTGATTTGTCTCTTCACTGGTATACCTTCAGGGCCACACTGGTCTCCTCTTATGTTGAGCTGTTGCATCTAGCTCTTCCAATTTTAATGTTACCCCATCCCAGTGCTTTCCCTCTCACAAAAAAGCTGAACTCTCTGAGGTTGGCCGTGGGGGGGGCTTTGTACTTTTTGAAAGAGTCTGAAGAGTCAGTGGTGTGCCCACTGCAGCTGACAGTGGGTGTTACTCAAGCTAACACTTCTTGACTTTCTGTGTCTATTACCTCACACGCCCAGGAACACTAATCTAATAGCTGTTTAATGAGTTATGCTCAAAAGTTGTTAAGAATAACATTTTTTGAAGCTTTCCCTTTGTGGAATTATGTACAACTAAACTTAACTCAGCTCACAGAATATTACTCATACTGCATACACCAAACTGGGTATAGTGGGCTGTAGTTTCAAACTGAGTGCTTACACACTCCCAACAGACACCATTACATCACATACTGGTCTCTGGTTTCACATTTGAAACCCTCAACTTTAGCATTTTACCGACTGCCCCATTGTTCTACTTGAGCCAGAAGTGACCATATTAGGAAACCATGTTATTTATCACATAATTGCCTGTTTTAGTACATCTTTCAATAATAACAGTCACAATATTAACTTTGAACCTTGACAAAAAAAGTTAAGAAATAAGTTCAACTCTGTATAATTGCTATGAAGGGACGATTTAGCTAATAATTTAGCTTTTTTTTTTTTTTTACAAGACTTCAACAATTCTTCATGGGAGTCATGATTGACAACAAACCATATGAGCTCGACGGGCAACCAGCTTTGACAAGGGGACATTCACCTTAGTCACTTTGCTATTTATTTCAAAATATTCCAAAATCTCAGGCGGCTGAGGCAGTTTTTGTGTTTTGCAATTACAAGTAGGGTCGTACTTTCAAACAACCTCTTTTTAGTTTCAAAGAGATATTACAGGTACTTCCCAGAGTTTGACCTGCACAGGCCCATCCACTCAGTGTCATCCTCTGTCATGCTCGTCATTACGACTGCTGCAGAACTACTGTTGATCAAATAATAATGAATTCAATAAATATATATTTAATTGAATCGATATGGGCAAATTGCGTGAATTAGTGTAACTTACTTTAGTGAGACTTTACTGGGTGGGCCTGGACCCCTGAAGCCCATCCAAAGAGTTGATGCTGATGGGAGTCATCTCTAAAGTCAGCTTCAAGTTGCCATTAGAAAAACTGCAGTTTTGGCACTCCCATGTTGACTTATTTTCCAGCCACAGAGATGCCACCGCTATGACCTACTTACATCACTCAAATTAAACCACTATATTTTTAGCTGATGTCCACTTGGTCGTTAACACTTGGATTAGAGCATTCACACTCTCCTTTACAAAAGCAGAGCCAAGAGGCAACATCTCCAAAAGTTGATTCTGTTCATCTGGACGCAGCGTTTTGTGGGAGAAATGTTTCGTCACTCATCCAAGTGACTTCTTCAGTCTCAGCTGACTGCAGGTTTCCCCAGATCTTATAAACAGTACATTTGCATAATGACTGAAACCAGCCCAGTGGGAGGTCAGTTCTTAAATTTAATTAATTTAATTAAGCTACGCTACGTCCAGATGAACAGAATCAACTTCTGGAGATTTACTTACCTGGATGATTGAGCAAGCATCAAGAGACAACATGGTAACTAAGGACCTGATTTCAGAGATAGAGCTCAAACTTTGTTTTTACTTTAATAATACCGCTCGGCAAATATTTGACTACATATCGATTCTTCTGAAACTCCAAATATTGCATTAATGATTTTGTTGAATCAGACCAAATACACTAAGCTGGCTGTATACATGACTGATACGTGACTGTAGGAATGCAGTTCAATATGAGAAGCAGTTGGGTTCTGGACGCGTTCTTCACAGAATATCACTGGATGGACTGAAGGCAGACTCACTGATGTGGAAAACAGATCTAAATGGTCGCTACTAATTTATTTATCTGCCATTGTGGACTTCTTTGCAGAAGCTGACGGATTGTTTCAGTGCGTCAGTCACTCATTAGCCTCCCCCAGCACAAACGGATCACGCTGAGCAAAGATTTCAGTTCATAATTAATTCAAGCTTAGCAGCCTTTTCTGCAGTGGTGAGATGCAGCGCTCATACTTTGCATACTTAAGTAAGCAAGAAAATTCCTTTGTTTTGATTTTGCTCACGTTCTAAAGCGACGGTTTGCTGGGATAAACCGTGTCAATAAGCATAAAAGCTGTAGGCACGCAGAGGTTATCTTTTTTTTTCTTTTTTGACCAAGCCTGCATTGTAGGGAAGTTTGTTTTGATGCTGCTTTCATTGAGATTGCCTTTAGCTAAACAAACTTTTCTCATTCATTAAAATTCCATTTCATGCCCTCATACTAATCAAACTTTTCTCTCTCCCAGTAAAAGCTATTTGCAATAAGTCCAGGAGTCCTTTGTGTTGCCCGGTTCTTGTGCACAACCATTCAAGGCTTTTTGGGAGAGCAATCAAGTACTTCAGGGTCTGTTTTAAAGAGACTGTTGGCAGCCAAAAAAGGTCTGAGAGCCAATCTCACCTCTGCATGCCGTGTTTTCGGCGACTGTGCTTGGAAAGGAGCCACCTCACACAAGGTACGCACAAGGCTGACACTTTGCAATTACTCATTTCAATCAGATTTCATATTTAAGTTAAAGCATGAAGGCATGGTCCACCCACCCACACACCTGCTGTCATCAAGTGAAAGCCAACAGATTTGTTCTGATGTGAAAAATGCATTGCTCGGTTAAGCTTTGCTTCCAGTCTGGAAGGGAGGGGATTTGGGAAGGTAAAACCAGGCAGAGAGGAGATAATAGGATTTATTTGACTGTGTTTTTGAGTGTTTTCAACAAAACTGAGCCTCGTCGCAATTAAAGAGCTTGCACAAGCCCAGAGGTGGATTTTGGCTAAGTGACGACTCATCACATCAAGTGTTGAGTGTGCAGGTAAATAAAATGAACTTGGCTGTAAGAGTGTGTTAAAATCGCTTCAAGTTTGACAGTCGCAGCCACTTCGTTGCTAAAATCAAACAGCTTTATTTGAAAAGAAATGATAATTGTGTTTTTAACCCTTGTGTGATCCAGATGCATGCACCCACACTGAGACTGTGCTGCTTTTCACATCGGGACTTTGGAGAAACTTGCCATTTGCCATGCTCTGGTGCCTCTGTGGGTTATAGCACATGCACTGTCCTTTTAAACCAGCTTGCTACATTTGAAAAATGTTGTGCACTTGCTTTCATCTCTTGCCAGCTTTTGAGCAACGACGCACCTTGAAAATATGCTTTAAAAAAAGATTGCTTGTTAGAGCCATTTATTTTAGGTGGAGCATGGAGCAATGCATTTTAAAGGGACAGTTTTATAGGAGTGTTAATTTGTGTGTCTTTTTTTTCCGTAACTCTTTTTGAATCTAGAGAATTGCAAACACTCAGAAACACACATTTGCATATACATGGTTTATACTGAAAACTAATTTCTTAGTAAATCAAAGACTATACATCTGAGCATGTGCTCCAGGTGCATTTGCTGTGTGAATGTGAACAGTACCTTAATAGCAGAGGTGGCAATCTGGAGGTGGTGCAGTCGCCTCAGGGTGCTCTCTCGATCTGTGAAGTAGGAAGCGGCCAGCTGATGGAGCAGCTCCAAAGACACTACTGAGCTGTTGCTGTTGCCTTCGGACTTCTTATTCAGCTTCTGCTTGTCCAGGAAAATGGTCAGAGATTCTTCTCCTGTGGATCGATGATAATTATTTTACAGAGCACTCTGTGATGAACAGTTTTCATTGAGAAAATCATTTGTTTCTTTCTGAATCCTCTTTAACGTGGATAAAAAGCCAAATGAAGAAGAGCGCGTACGTTATATTTGGAAAAACTGGAGTGACAATCTTTGAGTTTGACATTTCTTTGGAAAGGCCTTCAGCGTCTCGCTGCGGTTTTGTGGTTTGTCTGCTGAGGTGCAGGTACTGTATCATTTGGATTGGCAGCAACAGAACCATTGCCACTAAAATTGGACACAGGCAAGAGAGGAGGTTGTATTCCTTCCCCAGACACCAATAGTTTGAAATTATGAAAGGCGAACATGGCATTTATCTCGTGCAAGCTAAAACATGTAAGCAATATAAAGCGTGAGCAAGTATTTCTCAGCAATGCCAGCAGCTACTGATGTGGGAAACTTTTTAACAAATCACATGAGGCAGGATTCTCTTACGGTAAATGCACCAAACACCTTTTTATTTGCCCGTGTAATGTCCAAATAAATTGCAGACAGCTCTTACTGTAATTTCTCTAAAACTTTCAGAGTGATAAGTTCAATTACCGGACACTACAGGGAACACTTTATTCCCAACCTCCCTAAATTGAATCTGAATGGGAGCTTAAGTGTGATCTTTAGCAAAGCTGCCACTCCAAAAGTGTCTTGCTAAGCATAAGATTTGCTTAGAAAAGCCACATTTTCTTGGTCTTCAACAAAACACACCATTATTTATGGATGAGCGCCAAGAGGCTTTAAAGCCATTCAGAGAAACACAGAGAGACTAACTCTGATCTGAAATTCATGGGTGTTCAGTTATTTGGGAAGCGCAGGGTGTTTATATTTACCGCCACCTTTTCATTTGAGTTTCTATTGCAAGGTGCAAGGTCACAACTACAGCCAAAAAGTACTTTTGTTCACAAAGTGTAAGGCAATTCATTTTATTAATGTAAGAGGTACCTTTCTGAGGCTGAGTGGCTTTTTTCTGGGGGGGGGGAATGAATCAGTTTTTCACTCTTTCACTTTCACTCGACTGTTTAACAAAATACACTTAGATGTAACCACAGCAGAAGAAAAGAGAACAAAAACCAGATATTTCATGCGTTTTCACTCTGCTACAGTAATCAGTATGCAGAATGGATCTGCCCATTTAGTCGAGGCTGTTAATTACACATAGACACTATCAGTGTGACACTGCATTCACCCCGGCTCCATCTCTGAAACTGCTCCAGTGCATACATTCAGTGATAAGTGGCATTAAAGTTAGGCGTCTGCAGACGTGAATATCAGAGCGGCTGTTAGGAGACTGTTCCTGTGAGAGAACTGGATTTGTCTGCTATGTGAACTGTGTTTGGGTAATTTTGGTATTAAACATTTCAAGCCTGAACCGTGAAATAATTGAAACTGAACCTTCTGACAATTTTTTTCAAAAGTAATGAAATTAATTATTAATTTGCACATTTGAAGTTTTTTTGTGTTTGTTTTTTTCAATTTATTGCTGAAAAATGTATTGTGCAATTTATGTTGGTTTTTCAAATATGATGAACTAGACATTAAGTTTCAGACTAATTATATCATCGTAAAATCTCCAATTTCATATATTCATAGCATATTTTATGTGGCTGAATGATCTGAGTAACCTAGGATTGTAAATCCTGACCGGGTCCTTACATATGCCTAGACTCACTATCACTCCTTGCAAATGTACTTGTATATCTGCACTATACTAGTTGATGACTGAGATTAGGTGTTTATCAATATCACTAGGTTGTCATCTTGAACACTACACAGGTCTCACTCTTGTTTTTGTGACCCTCACACGATCGATGCTGCTGCCGATCTGTTTTGTGAGTTACTTCTCTCCTTGGGGATTGAGGCAAAAAAGAAATCCAATGAAGAAACACGGGGGTATGAAACAGGTCATTTTAATCCCTCTTCTGCTCTGCGAGGCTCTAATGTTCATCAGAGGGAACGATGAGTGGAAAATTACCTCTGAGGGAGACAAGCATTGTTGAGTGCTGCAAGTGCAAGATGTAAGCATTGTTGCTATTTCTACTTAAAACATGAGACTCTTTCTTGGTATAAAAGGACAGCTAGACTCCTGGAGCTACACTAACACAGGCAACATCCTCCGAGACCTAAAACGAACGGTTTCTCTATTTCTGGCGTGTCCCGACACGTTCTAACCCGAGAATAAAGGAGAGTGTGTCACCTGCAGTCCTCCCTTACCTCCCAGGGTGGCAGTAACCAAGAAGTGGGTCCCGTACTTCTTGATGAGGTTTTCATTGATTTGCTGCAGGGTTGGTCGTCGGCCCAGTAACCGCAGGTTGCGTAGAAACTCTGGTGCTAAGGGCAATGGAGATTTGAGGAAATCTCTCTTCTCCGTAGCCAGGCTGTTCACCTTCCAGTGGCTGAACTCCCTGAAATTATAAATACATGAAAAAGTGATTACATGCTCGAGCATTTTAGCATGATGTGGAATTATAGGCAACTGACTAGAATATACTGTTAAATATAATGACAGGAACATTTAAGGTTACAGTCATACATGTCTACTTATTGCACAATGGTCCCTGGAAAATCATGACTTGCTGTCTTTCATTGTGAGATTGTCTTGACCATTATATGTTAAAAAAAGATCTCCGCAGGTCACAAAAAAAGAAACGTCTGATCTATTCTTATCTATAATGTGATCCTATTGGCCAACGTCATAAAGATCACAGACAAAGTGACACTTTTTGTGGCGTGTTAACACTGTATGTATAAGAAACAGTCTGGTGTATGAATGTGTGAATGTAGGAATAAAGTAAAGTACTCTGAATGGTCAAAAGTTTAGGAATTGTGATAGATAATGTGCAAATCTGTGACAAAATAAAGATATATTTATATATGATGAGCTACACTGAGAAATATTCAAAAGCCCCAACGTGAGTACAGATGTAGGAGTCATGCAAAAAAGCAAATATTCACAGGATAGTCAGGGTTAAAGTGGGATGGTGGGGAACCGTAAAATCAGCTGCAGTGGGTCGGCGTTTGGAAAAGAATTAAAGCTCAAGATAACTTCTATCGTAAACTCGAGTCGTTTTTCTTTGTGTCCAGGCTGGCGTCAGCTCACATGTGCTGCTGTGGCTCTGAGGTTTACAACAAGCTGTAAGATGTGATGTTTCACAGCTATCTTAGCAGATTTCTATTCAGTCCCCTGACAGTTCACTTTATACTGTTTTTACACCAGACAATATAGAGTTGGTATAAAGGTTTAATAAATTTTAGAACCATCAGCTGAAATTCAAATTCATCAGTTGATATAACTTAAATGACCATGAGCACCACAGCCACCGTTGGCCAGTCCAACACAGTGCTTTACTGTAAATTCACAACAGTGTGGTGAGCTGCTTATCCTGCACTAAATAAAAAGCACTGGTGATGGAGGATATAGGAGTGTCTTTTACGTGTTCTTGTTCCCTCCATTTAAATCCAAATCTGGTTGATTTTTTAAGATTTACAGTGATGTAAAATAAAGCCGGGGTGTCAAATGTGTTTGGCTTAAAGAAACAAGCCTGTTTTGAAAATGTAAGGAATAGAAATTACAAATATTGGAAATTTGTGCAAAAAATGTGAAGAGTAGCAATAAAAAGTTGTCAGAAAACAAATACTGAAGTGAAGTACAGATGCCTGAAAATTCTACCAAAGTAGAGTAACAAAGTATTTGTATTTTTTTTTCTTCACACTTCTGCAGACAGACAGCCTGGGGTAAGAAGATCACACACCCCGGGCATTCCAAGGTTTGGGACTGTAAAGAAAGTCCGTGTTTTCCACCAAATACAACCTAGTGACTCACATTAAATGCAACATGGATGTCAGGAGACGCTATCAGTATTCTCAGTTGCGGTCGTGTTTGTTCACATTTAATTCAGTGAAATCTGAAAGACGAATGTGGTAATTATTAAATGGTGCTAGAACTTTACATTTGGGACATGTCCTTAATTAAGCAAATTAGGTTGGACCACGCTGGGCTTTCTGTAACCAGCAACACTATTTTCAGATTGCTGTTGAATATCACTGATAAATTCAAGAGACATCACCCTTCTGTATTCAGTCAGTGTCAAATGCCTCATAAGAGCCTCAGACCTTTTGATCTCTTATTGTTATGACTTTAAAATGAAGGCAGAAAAAACACTGACATGTAATGTCTGTGAAGGTTCTCAGTCATCCAGGTCATCGTAGTCAAAGGAGCTTGCAAAGAAAAGCGTCTGGACTTCTTTAAGTTGCTTGAAGACGTTCCAAGCTTCTCGGATGAGAGGTGAAACGTCTTCAAGCAACTTAAAGAAGTCCAGACTAACATGTAATCTGCATGGTTTACATATATTGTTGTATTAAACCCATTATAAGTATATTAAGCGCATAAACAACTATGAATAAACCTTTTAGTTACTTTAACGTAGCAGCTTATTGTTTTGATTTCATGGTCTCTAACTGTACAGATTTGATTCAGTCTGGCAGCTGTTATGATAAGCATAACATTTGCCTGGGAGCTGGTGCAGAGAAAATAGTTTCTGGACTCACACTTGGTGGGTGGCTAGAAACACCTGTCAATATTAAAGTTAAGAATATGAATATATAACATTTCTGCTTGTTGACTGTGCAGCCTTGCATGAAGAAATTGTCAGTGTTGTGATTAGAGCCTGGTATGACATGCCCAAGTGCCCAGCTGTCTTCATTTCAATCAAACAAATAAATAAAGTTAAGCTTAAATGAATGTTAACCACTAGTGGGAGTATTGGGAGTTTTTTTTCCCCAAAACTCATGCAGCAATAGCTCTTTCATCACATCCTGTTGAGAACTTGAAACCTTGCATCATGTCTAAAGTACAGTAATCCCAATCATGGCCTAAAATGACATGAAAAGTTGGCAGTGCATATACTTGATTTGAAAGAACTCTCTCCTTATAAACAAATCCAGGATGTCACATATAAGTTTGCAGCCTTAGCAAAGTTTAAATAACTAAACCTCTGGTGAATCCAGTTCTTTAGCTGTCCAGACAAATGCCAGTGGCAGTGACAATGACCTTAAAAGTGGTCAGAGAGAGGGATGAGTCTGGAAAAGCATTTTAAGTGACTGATGGTCATTTCATCACTTTACTACTTCAACAGTGGAACCCTGAGGTATGTGAGGAAGATTATGCAAATCTCAGAAGAAAAGTTCAGATCCACCTCATCTGCATAAATTTGCTGGCAAAACAAGGGAAGTTGAATCGTAGCACATTATGCACCAAACAAAATGCCAGCAGTGATACACCGCTTTCCCATGAGTGCACTCTTTCTCTCTCGCACATCCTCACAGTGGAGCATTCACAGAGGGAGACACATATGCAATATCATTGCCTCACTTGCACTAGCTGCTCTCACATTGCATTTTTATGGTCAAAAGTTTACTATTACCAACACAAAATTGTAATTATGCTGTTGACAGCGTTGTGACTAAACCACAATACGCTACTTCCTGTAATAATACAAAGTAAATATGCATAGGTCATGCAGATAGTACTACAGTAAAGACAGCAATGCACTGTAATTAGTTTTTAGTTCCTGCATTGCATATTAGTCTTCAAAGGAGAGCTGGGATTTGTAGCCATTTAGCACATGGCATGACAAAGCCTTCCTCAGAAGGAATGGCCTCAGGAGCGTACGGTCAAACTAGTGCTTCATTAGGAGGTTCATTCTCACATAATGCACCAATTAATGTCTGTAGTCTGGCCACAGTCACAGCACAATTTGTTCACGCTATCATTAACTCACAATGTTCTCCCATGAAAGGAGGGCAACTCAGGGAAAGCAAGTTGGAAGGTTTAATGCTGCAAAAAAAACAAGTGTTAAAAAAAGATCAAGAAGCACAAGATAAAGCTTTGTTTTCTCACTCTTGTGTGTTTTCTTCTCTGCACTCTTTAACTTAAATATTCTAATTATACAATAAAAAACGCTCAGATTCATTAAATTAGGGCTGGGTATCGTCACCGATCTCTAGAATCGATTCAATTCCGATTCACAAGGTCCCGAATCGATTTGATCCACGATTTCATTCGATTCGATTTGATTCGAATCGGGGAAATTTTGACTCAGACAGTCAGAAATATTATAATTCCGATCACGCATCAGTACATTTCCATATTTTTTGTCTATAAAAAGACAGCTGACACTTGTGAGACTTTATCCAAGGTGTGAGCATCACAGCAGATGCCTTTGTGTCAAAGTAACTGAGGATAAAACACAGAAAAACATGAAGGAGATTTTCCTGGCCTGGGATTTTATAGCAGCTGATCTTAAAAATATTCTGCAGTAGATCAAAAACGAAAGAAAACCATTAATCAACATATGAACATTATCTGATGCTGCTGAAGTGAAGCAGAGCAAAGTTACAGAGGTTTTAGAGACACAGCTGAGCGTTTTGCAATTTTGCATAATTTTAAAAAGTTTAAATTTGTTCAGAAGCCTATTGAACGGCAGAAATGAGACTTTCTTTTTGGAAGTAAGTAAAAGGAAAACACAGCGGCCCACAGCGCTGTAAACAACGGTAGACTTGTGCGTAATAAGCAAGTGAACAATGAAGAAAACAGATTTTTAGACGGGAAACTGTTCTTGAAGTACAGAGAGAGAGAGAGAGAGAGAGAGAGAGCTGTGCATGAAGTGTGATTTTATCCTGGTGGAAGCAAAACAGGAAAAGTCAGAGGGAATTCATGATGATGCTTACGTGAAGCAAAATGTGAAGCATAGTTTGGATCTTCTTTTGCTGCTGGTTTAGTCAATATTGTTTGGAGAGAGATTAAACCTGCAGCTTTTGAATCAGTGCAAAAAGGATGTAAACACAAAGCGCGGAGCCGCCAACGGATCAGAATCGGTGAGCTGTCCGAGCCGTCGGGTGAGAAAGGCGACGTCTCACTGATTCTGATGCGTCGGCGGGTCCGCGCTTTGTGTTTACGTCTTTGTGCAGAATCCGTGTTCCTGCTCTCCTTTACTGTTTTAGCTGTTTGGTGGTCGTTGAAATTTTGTGAGGTTTGACCTGAGGGCAAAATAAATTATATTTAAAAATCGATTCAGGATTTTAATGAATCGATATCACGTTATCCAAGCTAGAATAATCAAAACCCAGCCCTACATTAAATTAGGGTTCTTCAAACTTAAGGTTTAAAAATCATCTTTTTGCATACTGTACCTAACGGAGCTTTGCTAAGCATTTAAACTCACTTTTGTTCTAGTTAGTTTTTCTTATACTGCAAGTTGTGTCTGCATTAACTGTAATTAACCTGTAATCTGCATAAGCAACACTGATTAGCATGTGATGTTCTCAGACGTTCTGGGGATTTTTAAACATTTAAAAACACAAGTTGTCATGTATTGTAACAACATTCTAGTAAATAAACATGTCA